AAATAATGTAGGCTGTTCTGGGTTTTATTTCATATTGTTGGTACTTTGTTATTTGACCAAGAATTAGTGATATATTATCTTCTGGATTAATTTGCTTGCAGGGTCTAAATGTTTACAGCATTCTGCTGCACGACACACTAGTAATGTCTCGTGATGCAGTGAATAGCATAGTCGAAAGAATGCACACCCCAATCAATCGCTAATTGGAGTTTCTCAATGTCGGCATCTCGGTAGATTTTCCCTTTGTCCATCTCTGCACGAGTTGAATGGAAATGTCTTTTCCTAAATGTGTGCAACATTCAGAGTTGTAGTGTTCAATTCAGCTTTTTTGCTAACATGAAAGTCAAGTGTTGCTTGCTGGTGAAAAATGTTCGGTTTTGTTGGTTTTGCTTTTTCTTTGCGCGCATGAAAATTTAAGGGTTGCAATTAAGAATCAATCGACTACTGAATAATTTTTTGTGCTATTGATTGAATTCCATGACGATGATTATATGAAGTTGCAGATTAGTTGTATTATTAGCATTCATGTGGGGGCCGAGATGGGCCGTTGACGTGGGCCTTTAGCACTTGAGGACATTTTCTCCTGAGCCTCCACGCATGCCTATAACTCGAGTATTGCTAACTTGAATATGACATATTAATGGTCAGAACTCAGAAGTAGTGGGAATATAACCCGTTCACTGTAAGTAATATTTTTTTATAGCAGTACCCCAAGGTTCCCAAGGTGTAGGATTGAATTTCATAACATTTTTATTAACATCTTTTGGTAAATGTTTGAAAGTGATAAAAAAAAAAAAATCATTTGTTCAAAATATAATAATAAATATAATAATGTTAAAAAATGAATCTTAGGTAAATGTCAGTTAGAAGTTAAACTAATGACATAAATATAGTTTAAAGAACGAAGGTAAACAAGAATGAAAAGAAAAAAAAAAGAAAAAGGAAGTAATTATGTTTGAAAATGATAAGAAAAGAAAATCATTTATTCAAGATATAATAATGTTTAAGGTGAATTTTCAATAAATGATGATTAAGAGTTAAATACATAGATAAATATTTCATAAAGAATGAAGGATAAATGATGATTAAGAGTTAAATACATAGATAAATATTTCATAAAGAATGAAGGATAAAAAAGAATGAAATGAAAAAAAAAAATGTTAGAGAATAAGAGATTATATTATAATATACAATTTCAAGTAATTAGGTTTGTAGGAAAAGAAAATTATTTATTCCAGAATATAATAATGCTCAAGGTGAATCTTAGGGGGTGTATTCAATTGAAATTATTAAGGACTTTTTAAAACTTTTTAAATTTGGTGACTTTGTAAAATTTTCATGACTTTGGTGGACTTTTTGAGACTTTAAGAGAATTCTCATTAGTGACTTTCTAAGACTTTCATAATTGACTTTTTAAAACTTATTGAGACTTTTATATACTTGTAGTTATAATATTATGTTTGAAACATTAATAAACGTAACATAATAACTAATATCAAGAAAAATAAATAAAAAAAATATTTTATATATTAATCCTCTAAAAAATTATGAATCAATTCATTGTTATGCGAAATGAGTTATTCACGAACAATTGTTTAGGGCTCGTTTGTTTACAAAATAATTCGTCCAAAATGAGTTATTTTGGTTAACTAGAGTTAATTTTGAAAAAGGTAATATGGTTAGTAGAGAATGTATTAAAATAATATTTAAAGTAAAATGATTAAAATTGATTTGATGTAAAAATAGGAGATAAATGATTGGAAATAATAGGTAGTTAAAATTATGTGAGTGGATGAATAATGAATTAAAGTTGATGTGATGTGTAAGAATGATTGGTTTGTATTATTTAATTATATGAATTATATTTAAGATAGTGAGGTTGAGTTAAAATTGAGTTAAATTTTTAGTATGAATTGAAAGTGAGTGAAATAATTTATAAACAAGCATGCCCTTAGGATTTTAGATTTATTAAACGAGCAAGTCAATCCAATATTTAACGAGTTGAACTATGGAAGATACAAACATTGTCGAAAAACAGTAATTGTATCTTATAAAATTATCAATAATATTCAAAATAATTCAATATCAATAAATAAACTATTAAAAAATAAAATAATTTTTTTAAAATTTAAAAATAAACATGGACAAATAAAAAGAGAGAACAAATAAATTATTTGCAAGTGCAAACTATGAAAGCATTTAACCTTTGAAAAGTTAAATTCACAAGATAGCAAAATGAGAGAATAAAGGTATACATACATAAAATAACCATAATAAAAAATATATAAAATAAAGATCACGTTAAATATACGTAATGAAAATAAATTGATACAACGTATCAAAATAAATGAGTAAAATAATAGAGCATGAAAGTGATATGAGATATAAAGTCGTGTTAGAAAGAAAAAGGAAAGGAGCGTGATGAGAGTCACATATGTCAAGTAAAATCTCACCAATATTGATGAGATTTTTGTTGGGATTCTCTCTTTGTAATTTTGTAAAAAAATTTTCTAAAAGTCTCACAATTTAAAAGTCTCATAAAGTCTTCCTATTTCGAATATAGAGTGACTTATAGAGACTCTCAGAAAGATATAATTGAATACCTCAAGACTGATATAATTTTTTTTTGGATGGATTTTTTGGTTTGATTTGGTTAATTTTGAAAAATATGGTATGGTCAGTTGTTAGTGAGTATATTAAAATAATATTTAAAATAAAATAAATAAAGTTGATTTGATTAAAAGTATGAAAGGTGATTTGAAGTGATGGTTAGTTAAAATTATGTGAGTGCATAAATAGTGAATTAAAGTTGATGTGATGTGTAAGAATGTTGGTTGATATTTTTTAATTATATTGATAATGTTGATGATAGTGAGTTGAGTTAAAAAAAGTGATTGAGTTAAAAATGTTTAGATTTTTTTGAGTGGATTTGTATCCAAGCATCCTCTTAGAGACTTATAAAAAGTCTTTAAAAGTCTCAATTGAATACATGTAAACTTTTCAGAAGTCTTTAAAAGTTTTAATTGAATACGCCAGAATTCTGAAAGTTTTAAAAAGTTTCTAAAATTTGAAATTGAATACACCCCTTAGAATATGAATTAGGAGTTAAAACTATATAATAAGTATTTCATAAAGGATAAACAAGAATGAAATGAAAAAATATGAAAATGGAAGTTAGCGAATATGAGATTATATCATAAGCTATAAGATACAATTTCAAGTAAATAGCTTTGATAACAACAGAAAACCATTTATTCAAGCATATAATAATAATAATGTTCAAGGTGAATCTTAGATAAATATTAATTAGGAGTTAAACCATATAGATAAGTATTTCAAAAAGAATGAATGAAGTTGAGAGGATACGTCGAATGGGAATGGTAAAAGACTAGACCTCATATTAATTTTTTCGAGCCATGATATGGAGAAAAGAGAAAAGTTGCGCGGGAGTCTCATCAGTCAAAATTGAAAAAAATCTTAAAAATGAATTAAGTTTGCCGAGAAAACTCGATGTTCTTAACACAATTGTGCCTACAATGCCTTACGTCATAATTGACCCGATAAATGTAAATGATGCAATGCCCAGAGNGACGGCAAATGTGCCATGAAGTCTCGTTCATTTACCTTTTTCTTTTTTCGCTCTTCATAACTCTTGATTGTCTCCAAAGTTAATAGGACAACAAGCTCTAGTCAAATAGTTTCATCTCCTCCCCAAGGCAGGTAATATCAGGAATAATTCCTCCTTTGTGTTTTTTTGTCACACGATTGCCGACTAAATCATTGAGTACGGTGGTTGGGTCTTTGGCTCCACCATGCTGCAAGAATTTCGACCTGAGAGCAGATCCTGCTGTTAGCGACATAGGGTCCTCCTGGAATATCCTTTTCCATATTGTTGCAGAAAAGCATTTTGCATACAAGTAGCTGTAGTAACCTGTAAGTCATTAACTGCTGCTGAGTAAATTATCTCTAAATCAAACATGCAAAACAAGTGAGCAATAACTATTTTGGTATCTTATTTCTACATGTGTCAACAAGAAGACTTTTTTATGCAGAATAGTGTTTAATATTATTATTATTAACATTTCATATTTATTATTATTATTTAATATTTATTAGCTTTGGCTTGGTGGACAAGTTAGTCTTAGGGTTTTGAGAGCTTTATTTAAAGGACTCGATCTTCTTTGATGTCCTTTGGTTGATTTTGAATAAGAATAAGAATATACAGTCTATCGAGAGAGTTCTCTTCTCTTTATTCCCAATCGTCTACCACGCTACATCACTTTTACACAGAGTATGAGATTATTCATTAGGATTTCTCTAATTTTCAGAAGAAAACGAGAAATTTCCAGAGAGAGAATAAACCGATAGATTTTAATCGGGCATACCTGCACCGTAATTAACAAGATGACTGAATCGGGTGTGCCAGTGTGTGCCTTCCACGTGCCTCCAACACGTGTGCTCTCTTTTCAAATCAGTGATTATCGAAATCGCATCATTGACCGAAGATGGTTGTGATGCGTGCAATGTCTGGTCGATCAATGAGTAAAAGATCTGGGGAGGAAAAAAAGGCATTGTAAAGAATAAAGTTGATCTCCACAGCCTGTTACCAAATAAAGCAAAGCTAAATTCATCAAACATCAAACAAACCTGGCGTTGCAATTCGGTTGCAGAAAACATATGCTTGGCACCTTGTAGAGATTTTACCAGGTTTTCGGGAATCGGATCACCTGTTGAATAATGCTTAGCGAATGTCCTCAAAAACCGATAATCCCATGCGTAATACCTGTTAATCAACAGAAAAAAGAAACAAGAAATATGAATAAAGGCTCCAGCCTTTGGTGGCTGGTGTATAGTTTCTAAGCTATCTAGCTTAGAGTAATTATGAAGTCATGCTTTAGAATTTCTCATTTTCTGTTTTCAACTTTTGACATTATATGGAACAAAGCATCTATAAATGGCAATGGGCTCACTCGAAGAGGTTTGATGGTGTTTCAGCAAAATCAAGCACCACCCTAGTCCCTGAGAAATGTTGATAATCCTGAAAGAGTAATCACAATAGATAATTACGCTATAGGGTCCACGAGACAAGATTGACCCCACTAAAGTCAACCAAGGAATTGTCTGTACCGTTCTTGAAAGCAACGAGTGAAGAGCATGCCCAAACTCGTGAAACAGAGTTTCTACATCAGAATGGTGAAGAAGCACAGGTTGGGAACTCGATCCTGAAAAATTGCAAACAAGTGCTACAATCTGCAAACAAATGCATTACGCATTTCCATTATCGATTACTTCAAATATATTTGATGGTACAGCAAATAAACAGGATATGAGGCAATATAAGCATATACCGGTAACTGGTACTCTGTCTCTGAGATTCTGCGCCCCCCTTTGATAGCAAAATGTGCAAAAATAGGATGCTTGTTCTTTCTTGATTTCAAATCAAGGTATAGGCACCCCAAGTCCCCCTGCATTACAATATATCATGCAACAATTAAATGATGAAATTATGTCCTAATGTATCCCATTTAGATGTGCATAATATGTTCTATGAAGTTTTACCTCCAAATTAACAAAAATAAAGTAATTGCCCAGAATTTGTGACAATACAACAAATGCATCTGATGCATGACTTTTCCAACATAAAGAAGAAAAGAAAGGAAGAAATTAGGAATTATTCAACAATTCCTACTCCGCATAAAATTTTGATTAACGAACTCAAGCATGATGCAAACGAACCATATTGGGTTTATTGACACTCACTAAATAAGATCACAAGTATAAATATATATAAACTTGAAAGTTCAGCCTTTTCTCACTCCTAACGAGAACAGATAAATCAGAAAACACATGAATAGTAAGGATGAATATGAGGCAACCGATTGATAGGCAATAAGCAAATAAGGAAAAGAAGTCGCCTAGTGCCAATGTGCCAAGGTTAAACAGTTTTGGCCTTGGATGTTCTCCCTGTAAAATGTGTGGGTAAGAATTACTTAAAGCAAAGATGTCCACTTACACACCTCATCAGGATGGTGCAGAGATAATTTCAGCACATCTGGATGCCAGGATTCACCACGGCCAAGAGGGATCTGATGAAATGTTACACCAAACAGTGACCCAGCGAGCACTTTTAACCCTTCGATACATTGTGGCAGGGAAAAATATGATGCAACAACCTGCAAGATGATCCGCATGATAATTTATCATGCGAAATAGCATTGTCACAAATCAGACTAATAAATGGTTTTTCATTTATACTCAGGGCCACTATATGGTTAGGATGGAGGATAGAGAACGTAAACCGAGTGTGGATATGACTTGAAAGTTATAAAAGATAAGTATTTCATCCAGGTTTACTAAACAAGTTTGGCTGGAAGTAATTAATTCACCTAACCATCATTAGCAACCACTTACTTTTAGCACCAAATTTATCCTCCAATTATTACTTCTGTTTGGTTTACATGTAATGTTAAGCAGGCCCATAAGGATTTTGGCAGTTGGTCCGAAGATATAAAAAACGGGAAAACTTGGGATTTATGCTTTTAGCCTTTTGCTATTTTCACATCAAAGTTGACCCTACAAGATACTGAAAATTCATATGGTAGAACATGTGGTTGAAGAATGCTTATGATCGACATTACACAACTTCTCTCTTTCTAGAGAAAACAGAATGATCTTGTTCGTAGTTAGATAGACAGAAGCAAAATCATGCAAGACAATGTGCATAATGCTACATACTATCTTGAATCTTGATGCACTCACAATGTATGAAGAACTGGAAATGAACAAGGATTATAAGGTTATGGGTTAGGAATTAACTGAATAATCCAAGTTGTGAGCAGAAGCTTTCATCATTCTGGTGAAATATGGCTCGTCCCAAGGCTCCAATTCTGAAGCTGATTGGCCACTTGTTGCTCTCTTGAAATCCAAAATTTTCTTAAACTCCTGTAATGAGAACATCTACTATTGTAATAATAACAATAATAGTAGCAGTGGTAGAATTTAAAACAGAATAGAACTAAATTTCTTTATTTTGAGAATGAACATTGTCATCATACCTCCTCAGCCTTAGGTCTGGCCATTTTACTCATGTCATGCAGGAAAGATAGAACAACTTCAGGTGATGACGCCATGTTTTCCTTCTGAGCAAATTCAGCATAAGATTTACATCCCATGATCTGTCCACAACGATCACATAGCAGGATCATGGAATGGTAATGATCGCAAATTTTGTACTTTGAAAAGACAACAGGAAAGCAAGATAAGAAATTAGGAACACAATGAATTGCGCTTCTCGAGATGCAATAAAGATAATAAGTATACGGAGCTTACATTACAATTTGAAACTATATCCTTTTTCTTTGTCATCCACATGGACTGGTACAATGGCACATCAATCATTCAAAGCATTACTGATTCTTCCCGTTTTTTGTTGATTTGAGTTCAATGGGTGCTTATAGGTGAAATTATAGCAGAACATTATGGTTTTCCTGGGAATAAAACTAATAATGTTTTTTTCTGTTTCAGTAATTCCCAAGTCATAACACATATATATAATTCTACAATCTCTCACTTCAGACAAGGCATCTCCTCCTAATCATGATAATCTAAATTGTAAAACCTATTTTCTAACTTCACGTCAATCGTGCCCAATTTACTAATTACTTATGTGTACTAATATGCAGGAATGCTAACCTCAGAAAACTCATGACGTGCCGAAAGAAGCTTATCAAGGACTACCAGGTTTGCAGCTGGGGCAGAATTTCCCCTGATGTAAGCCAGCCTTCTAACCTGGACAGATAGAGAGATACATATTTATTGATAAAGAAATGAGTTATGCTATTATCAATTTTTGTGAAGTAAAATCCAATTCATCAAAAAGAGCCCATAAACCAAAATACAGTATGCAAATCATCAACTAAGGTCCATTATCACATTCCTGTAACTACAATATTTCCAGACAATGTATACCTAGTGAAAACTTGATCCCGTATGACCTCTTAATTTAATAAATCACTTCTTTGGTATAAGAAATAACATCAAAAGAAATCCTTCTCCTCAGTCTCAAGAGAAAACAAGAATTATTTGAAAGATGAAATGTATTTTGCTAGATATATGAATTTTCACTTAGATTGTACCTCATCATCAGATGCCAACTGCAATATAGAACAAAGAGTACTAGGCACTGTCATTATACGTAATCCTCTCTCTTTCGAGTTATTGTTTACACCCGTTGACTTCTTTGAATCAAATGAAGGGCGGTAAATGGGCTTGGTAAGATGATGCAATCTTTTTGGGATACGTGATGCAGGAAATATGTCCACATGACCTGGGTCGGTGATGATATTTTCATTGAATCTGATCATAAGGACCACATCGAACAAACAAAGATTAAAAATAAGTTTCTAGCTGAAAAAGACTGGAATAGTCAACTCGGTCAGCATATAAAGCTTTCGCTCTGAGACCTGGCAGCAACTATCATGCCCCATTTCCTCTCTACTACCCTTCAAGATTGTTTTGCAAAGAGTATTACAAAAATCCATATGAATATAAATATACATCCTTAAAGTAGCATTTTCTTCATCTGTAGATAACACGATAGTAAGACACAATTGGCAATCCCTACTTCTGGAGACCCTGTTAATGCCAAATCGTGTTAAAGTGTATTAAACCCGGGTTCCGCCTAGCGCCTAGCGCCTAGCCAATTTTTATAAACACTGATAAAAAACTGTATTTAAAGTAACGTGACTATTTTTATAAGACAGGCAGACGTGATATCACGTGTAGTAAACTAATAGACAACTAAGATGGATTTTAAACAAATTTGTTAGAGACATAAAAAGTCAAGAGTAATGAGAATAAAGGAATTCAGATGTTTCTTAGCAGCTGCAGCTGCACTTACTCTGTGGAAAGCTGAAGAATGTTCATATTTAGCTGATTAGCTCTATCCAACTTCTCTGTCAAGCAAAGCAGAGATATTCTATCAAAGTGAAGCGGATAAGTGGAAGAAAATACACAGGGACTTCGCAAAGATGGGTACCGGGGCTTAGATGAATTCCACCCTTCTCTAAGTCGATACGTAGATGACGGGCAGCCCTCGCAGCTTCTTCGGTAAGCATATGATGATTTTGCTCAGCCTTTATAATAGCATGATACAGACTAGTGTTTGAGTTAAGGAACTGCACATAATGCATCACATTATTATACTCAATCCAAAATCGGCAAGTAACAGGTTCTTGTACACCAAAATCCCCTTGCTCAAAAATTTTCATTTATCACGTAATTCGGGTCACATAAAATAATTCTGTCAAACATTCCACTGCAATATATATATATATATATATATATATATATATATATATATATATATATATAAAGAGAGAGAGAGAGAGAGAGAGAGAGAGAACACAAGGCAAAGCTATAATATTATCTATCATTGTTTTGCTATAAGATATAAAAAATCCTATTTATTTCTGTCAAGTTTATAGAAAGACTCATCAGTTATGTATGAACAAGGAACAAATAAATCAGACATCGTAGTTTTGAATTTTATCATCACACACTTATCTGACATCAGTGTTTCTTTCATAACACTTCCATTCCATAGTTCACCAAACCAGAGCATCTATTGGTTGCAACGGTTTTGGATTCTTGCAAAACAGGCTCCTAGGAACACTTAAATTTGAAGTTCAATGGAAAAATATTAGTCATGAATTACATGTGATATATTTGCAGCCTCTGGATGATACATATACATCCTACATTAGTTCTACCTCATGCCAGTTATTACCCTAGGGTGCTAACAGCTGCACCCCCATTATTCAAGTTTTATAAACAATATTTTTGAGTATAAAGTTATATGGCATTAAATTTTTCTCACTGTACAATTTATAAAATCTCAACGTATACTATTTTGAAGAAAAAGAAGATTAAAACTTGAGCTACTAATGTTTTTCTCCTAGCTCTGTCTCTACCTCAAGCCTCAAGCAAAACTGAAGGGCCAAACCGGAGTTTCGATTATATCCTTTTCACAGTTCTAAGTCTATGGTTTCCATGAGCATAGCAAAGTCCCAGTCAAATAATGATAAAAATAAACCACAGGCAGCAGTCACCTCACATGTAGATATTCATTTATTCGCAAGGATGCCTTATTTGCCTCCTCAACAAATTCCCTGAAATTCATAATATTGATAATAATAAAGTCAAAACCATTAAACACATAGTAGTTTGTACAGCAGATATTATTATTTATATGGTATTTCACCTATCAGGATGTGTATGCCTGCATAACTCAGCAGAGTCCACAACTGTGCAAACCTACAAAGAAGCTCAATTAGCAGCCATGGCAAGAGGTCCCCACTTTCAACTTCCCCATCTCAAATAGCATCCAGTGGGCATAAAACTCATCAAAGACTCATTTACAAGTGACACTAGCAAACCAATATCTATAAATTTGCCCAACTTAAAAAAACTAAAAACTAATCAAGAACATACTGTATCAGATATCTCATCCATGGCCTTGATAATTTCCGGGGCTGACGGCATCCCAGCAATATAATTGACGAGTTCATTAGACCTAATGAAACAATAAATATCAACATTATGCACCATGAACGTGAGAAAACAATAACACACAAAAAAAATTCGTTTTGATTACCGCTCAATCGCATCATCGACCATGCGTTGAAAACCTTTGGGAGTTCTCAAGTGGTCGAACCCGTACAAGCCGGTCTCCTTGCCTAATGGAGCAGCTGCAGAGTAGAGAAAGCGGCGGGCATGACCAGAATGCGCCGCCCGGTTACGGATTAGAGCGCGCAGCATATCTAGTCTCTAGAGTAGAGCTCGGAGCTTAAAGCCACTTTAAACAAATGAACTTATGCGATATGTATTTCTCGTGGGATAAAACTACCCTCTTTCGAAGAGATGAGCGGTGGCCACTGGCCGGTTCAAGTTTGCACTTTATGTGAACCGAACCGATATAGATATATATACAAGAGTAATACTATTTAGTCTACTTGGATGACAACTTGAGTTACAATTCTAAGTGTAAATGCATTGTTAAAAAATTATAAAAATAATGCATTTGCACTTGAGTTATAAACTATTGTCATCCAAGTGGACTCTATAACATTACTCGTATATACAATTCGTTACCAGTAGTTTCCGGTTCAGAATTATCCCGCCGGTACCGAGCCGGTTTAGGGTCGAATAATTCAGATATTTTTTATTTTTTATTTTTTTTAAATGGAGGAGGATAAAAAAAAGTTGAACTTCGATTTAGTTGATATATTTCAAATTAATTGACATTGTAACTTATAATATGTCAATTAAGTTTATTACGTATCTCTTAGCTAGAAAATCAAAGTCCTCGTAGTTCGCTTACCTTGCTTACTTGATGAAAGAAGATGGAAAGATGCATGAACGATCTAGTAATGGTAGTTAGAGTCGTTGTACTTGGTCCTAACAGTTTCACTAGTACTAGAAAAATCATGCGACTCTACCTCATTCTCTTTGGTAGTTAGCATGGTCGTTTGTTCCCTTCGTTCGACTTTTTTCCAACCAGTCAATAACATTTGAGCCTCCAAGTTTTGTGCCTTCAATCTCGACCTTCGTGCGTCCAGTGCATATCATCCCCCACTAAATGCTTGTTCAACCGCCACAGTTAAAGCCGAGACAAAAAAACTCTTTGGTCATCAAGCATAGAACGAGATAAGTGACATTCATTTTTTACCATCAATCCAAGACATGGAATGTGAGTGGCAAAATTGGTGATATGACAAAACGTAAGTCTGAGGTCCAATGACAGATAGTGATCGAGTTCATCATCTCCAGTCCCTATATTTCTTGTAATCATAGAATTCTTGTAGGGATTATAATTTGAAGCCTATTGTACATAAAAATTACATACGCTTTAAGACAAGAATACAACAATTCGGCCTATTCGTGACCGAAACTGAGGATTACGAAAAAGTAATAGCCCAAGCCATGCTACCAATGTTGCGCAGATCCAATCCATGTATGGGCGTCGATCGTTTCCATTCCTTCCTTCATAAGATTGTCGATCTCTCTATAGTGTAAATATAAACCGACAAAGTAAATTGTTAAAGCGACTACTCAGCCAGTCGCATCATCAGAAGACGAGTTTTTGCATGAGGACGCATGTCACTCCCGTACGCCCTTAGTTGGGCCCTAAGGCATCATACTTTTTCTATTTTTCTTGTATATAAATTCAGCCCTTGAGGCCCATGAAAGACAACAATTAACTATTCAGAAAATTTTACATAAATACTTTCTCGTGTTGATCTCTTGCACGATTGGCAATCCATTTACTATAAAAGTATGTTATTCATTACCACCTTAATCTCCATATTCTTACGATTAAACCATCAATTTATTATAGTTAATGTCTATCGTCAACAAAATGACGCTAGAGGAACGACTACCATCAAGGGTTACCTCTTTATCTCTCATTATAAACAGTCATACCCTACACAGACTTATTTTCACATAAAAACACCACCTACAGCCTCTCCATATGGTGCAGCTTGCTCAGATATTCTGACTAATAAGGGCGGAATGGCCGATCCTCCGGACAATTCTATTAATCCTGTTTCTCTGCTCAAGCACATATTCCAAAAATTCTCTTTTAAAATATCATCATTTTTCCTCCTCTCACCATAAAAAATTCAAATCCAACACTCTTCATCAACTCCTATATTAGTCTACCTTCGACAATAATACAGATTAATTAGCTCACCGACGACAAGAACGTCGTGAGGTGGGAGACATCGACCCTAGAGTAACAACAACTTCCAAATAGTCGGAGGATCTAAGGATGACACTGAAAAGGATAACTTTTCACGGTTTATTCGCTGATCTTGTCCTTAGGCCTTAAAACCTTCAACCCAACAATCAACCTCTTAATCGAACTGGCCCGTACATATATTCGGGCCGGTTTTGGGCCCGTGTGTAGTGGCCCAGCGACTCGTCGGGCAGGGTCGGGTCGTGTCCCGGCCCGCAGCTTTGACACGTCTTATTATGTGGTGTATATTTGTCACTTTCATTAACACTTTTAATAAAGAATATATATTTTTCATGAAAAATAATGTTATTAAAAGTTTAGAAATGTGATTTTTTACACTAAGAATATAAAATTTGACCAATTTTAAATTATTAAGCCAACTAACAGTAAGCATTTTGATTGAATATGGCATTTTTATCAATATGGTACTATAGACCAATTGGCAATTGTGGAAACTATTTGAATAAATACACGTTTCTAATTCATAATGCTTTGATTTTGAGAACCCTTTTGCAAAATAAAAAACACAATCATTGTTTTAAGTATTTGTAAGCCCACGCAATTATTTATATAACAAAAAAAAATAAAAAATAACATAATAGTTGCTATTAATTGCGTATATTTTAGATTAATATTGCAAAGCACACGCAATCGTACAGAATTATAGTTGGAAAATGCAGAGGGTGGAAAACCAGGGGCGTACATTACGTTTTCCAAGTATTTATAGTACTTAAAACTAAAAAGTACATTATTATAAGGGGCTTTTCCTACAAAGTACCTAAACCCTTTTTCATATTCCATTTCAGTCCCCACACAAAAAAAATTCCTTTTCACTCCCTATTACACTAAATATCTTACAATAAACTCCCTATGTTTAAAAAAAATGATAAATAAAAGGGACACATCACACCACCATCTACCAACTTATTTTATCTAATTATTATATTAGTTCTAATCTTCTTCCACAATCCACTCCCTCATTCCTTTTCACTCCCTATTTCACTCCCGATTTTCACTCCCGATTTTCAGTTTTTTTTTTTTTTTGCTAATTTTGGTCTCCGGCGATCGTAAATCCGGCGAAAGGCACGGTGGTGACAAGAACTTGAAGAGTTGACGGGAACCCGGTTCCAATATTTTTACATATTGAAGGTTAATTTTTTATTTATTTTTTTTTTCCGGCAATATTGGGGCGATTTCCGGGCGAAATTTGAAGTATTGTGTATGTGTGTATTTATATGTTGAATGTGGAGTCCAAACAAAGTCTTGTATTCATAATTTTTTAGTTAATTTGGAAAGGGTTCAATTTTGTATATTTGCCCTAATTTTTTTGAATTTTGTGTATTGTTGTCCTTAATCTATTTTCTCTTGTTCATACATACGAAATTGACGTGATAGTTAGTTATGTTGTGTATCAATGACCTTGAAACAAAAACTAAGGTGACTATGATTCTTGTACCATTATGCATGCTATTGGTACCACTTTTTGAAACTCTAGTACCACTGGAATGACTAAATAATACCACTGCTGCTGGGAAAGTGTAACATGTTATTTGTTTTATTCAATTTTTGTTAGATACAATGGAAGGTGGACAAATTGATATACTAGCAAGTTGTACCTACAACAATGAATATTTTGTGTTCTCTATGAACCATGAATCAACTCTTGACCAAATGTACACCGTCATTGGTAAGAGGTGGCCAAATGTGAATGTGGAATCCGTGAAGTTATGTTATATTGCGCCAATTGGTAAAAAGCAAGTTAGCTTGGCGGACGATGAGGATGTGAAGAACATGGTTCGATTCCATTTGTGTTGGAAAGAAAATATTATAGAGATAGTTGCCAATGAAAAAAATCAAAGAACGGATCATGGGGTTCCATCCTTCCCGATGAACATGAGTAGGTAATGGCGCTTCTATAATATTAATGAATTTATTATTGAAACATGGTATGGTTGTATGATATCCTTGTTATGTTATTTTAAGTAACGTTCCATTATTTATGTTTACGAATGTAGGGATATTATACCGTATGATGATTTATCGGAGGGAGAATCGGAGCTTCCATTGGACGATAATTCGATTGAGTCGTGGAGAAATTGCATCAAAGGGGAAGGACAAGTTTTCATTAGCACGGATGATTTTCGAAAGCGCGTTAAAAACTACGCGGTTGCTAATAGGCGGTCTTTCAAATATCGTAAAAATGATAGCATGAAGGTCATTGTTTGTTGTAGCGACGAGGGATGTAAGTGGAGAATATATGCATCGAGACACAAAGCGGATAATTTGTTTGCCATCCGGAATTGCAATCTAGTCCACACTTGCGGAGTGGGCAATCTTCGCACAAGGGGGCATCCGAAG